CCCTCAATCCCATTTAGCAATTGGATCCTGTAAGTGCCACACCCCACATTCTCTTAAACCATACACACATTGCTTGCTCTCTCTTTTGCAAACTTCTAATCCAGTAACAGGTAGCAGGACAGATTCAAGAGTTTTGCACAGAAGTGTCTCTCGCTTCTCCCAGTAAATAACACCGTTTGCTGCAAGGCATCACAGAATTCAGTCTCCTGTTTTGTGTTCTGTCCTACAACAGCTTGAGCTTGTTGCCAAACCCAGCCACCCACCCGGTAACCTTTTGGACAAGCGAGATGCTCTAAATGAACCCACCACGAGGGTGCAGTTTTTCAGAGACGCTCCTGAGAAAGGAACTCGCAACAGAGAGCACCTTATATCTGGAGAGCAAAGTTGCTCCTACATTTCCCGCAACTATGATTTTCTCCCCCCCCCCCCAAAAAAAGACTGGGGTATGGAGGCGGCTGCCGCCTTGCCGAGCAGTAACATAAAATCATTTCGGAGGACGAGGAAAGGGGAGAAAACCCTGCCTGCAGTTCCTTTCCTCCTTTCCCTGAAAAGGTGCATCTGGAAACACACAGTGGCGTCTCTTTTTCTCTCCTGCTGGGGTACAAAGAAGCCACCCCTCCCCTGAAAAACACAACAACTCGGAGGCTTGCCTTTAACTCACCGGCCTGTCTCTGAAATCCCTCTTTCTCTCAGTCCAGACCATCGTCCGCTTCCCTTTCAGAGGCTCCTGTATGCTGAATACTTCGATTGTCCTTTGCTAAGAGGTGACGTGCACGCCCGCTTACACATTCCCTCTAAACACCACCAAACTCTATCCCAAGACAAAGTGGTCACTTTATGACTTTCAAGGGGTCCTCTGTGCACAGCCGAGCACAGCGCTAACCGCACACTTCAGCTTTAGCTTCGCCTTATAAACTCTGAGGCACATAAACGATTTCCTCGTCTGACGCTGGAACAAGGTCTCGGCCCGTGGGCTGCACCACAAGGCCAGCCAGAGATACACATTTGACTTAAACAGAGGAATAAACACAGGAAAGCCATCTAATTTCTGGATATTCTGTTGTTCTATCTACAATTTACTTGAAACCAGAAAGCTGGATGTATATGAGACTCTACAGATGTGCAGAAAAGACATTAAATACAGAATCACAGAGTAACTGAGCTGGAAGGGGGCCTCTAAGACCATCAAGTCCAACCCCCAGCTCAAGGCAGGAACCCAAATCAAGGCAGATCTGACAGAGGGTGGGCCAATTTCCTCTTGAAGGCCTCCAGCACTGCAGCGCTCACCACCTCCGAGGGTCGTGGGTTCCCTTGTCATACTGCTCCAACAGTTAAGAAGTTTTTCCTGATATTCAGCCTAAATCTGGTTTCATGTAGCATGAGCCCATTATTACATGTTCTGCACTCTGGGATTATTGAGAACAGATCCTTCCCTTCCTAATGTATGACTTCCTTTCAAATATGGTACTAGTCACAAAGAAAGGTCAATATAAAGCATGCAGCTTTATTCTTTCTCTGTTTTTATAAAGGAAAGGAGGTTTGTAATGGGCTGACTATTCCGGTTTATTTGTCTGTGTACAACTGCAACATGCAGAGAGGGAGAGAGATAGGAAAGAGGAAGGGTTGTGGGTTTACTATCTCCATCCTTGATATTGCTTTTCTGATCAAATCTGGAATCCCTAACTACAGCTGTTTCCCAATAAGAACACTGGAAGCTCCAGTCATACATTTCCCATATAACCTTGGTGTTTAGTCGTCTCTGTAATTACATTTAAACAAGTTATGATGTTTCCACAACCCGTTGTGACTTAGTTCCACAAATATGAATGTTTCTAAGAAGGAAATTAATATAGCAAGCATCAAGAGAAAGTAGCCAGTAGCCATGGCGAAGCCACCACCAGAAGCGAAGTTCAGACACAGTTTTTGTTACTATTCTTCTTCTCAGGCCAAGCCAGGAGGCTGGGACACGCTTGGTGGGGCTTACAGGCCAAGCCTGTGACCTCTTCTGACCCTACGGAGGGGTGACTGGGGTATACACAATTCAAGAAAGTGGTGGAGCCGATCAGCTTGGAATTGCAGGACCTCGGAGAGCTCCACAGAGGCAGACTTGCATCACATTCTAGCTCTCCAGGGAAACTTTTTATAGCTTATAGCCTATTAAATGAAGATCTCAAGGTATCTTTATTTAATAAACCACAAGCTAAACATGAGTCAGTGGTGTGATGCAGCAGCAGAAAAAGCCGATGTGATCCAGGCTGCCTTAATAGAAGTATAAAAAGGTTTTAGAACAAGTCTAAACAATACAAATGCAACAGTAGGCAATTCCTTTATTAGACCACCCCCAAAAAAATCATCAAACAAGCCGCTGGGTTCCAGCGATTAATTCATCTTCCTCAGGCTGTGCACCAAGAAATGCAGAAAAAATTATTTATGAGAGTCCCAAAGTTTTATGGCTGTTGTGCTTCTTGTACCAGGTGTGCTTCTTAAGATGAGTTTAGAAACAGGCTGCAAACAGGTTGTGTGTGTATGTTGTGCGTTTCCAAGCTTCATTAGGGATCTAATGAAAGCATCACCTGCTCTTGGGTTTGCATTCACAGAGGTGTCATGTCAGATCAAAGGGAGGAATAAAGGACCGTTCTGCTCTGCTTTGATCAGCTCTCCCTTGGAAGTGAGGTCACTTGGAATGTGCTGGAACATATCCAGAAGAGGGCAAAAACAGGCCCTGCCAAGGATGATTGAGGAAGCTGGGCATGTTTAATCTAGTGAAGAGAAGACTAAGAGGCAACAGGGAAGCCATCTTCAAAATTTTAAAGGCCTGTCATGTGGAAGAAGGAGTGAAAGTTTTCTCTAGCTCCAGAGCACAGGACGTGAAGGGATGCATTTCAGGGACAGGAAAGGATTCTGACTAAACATTAGGAAGAGCTTCCTGGCGTTGACCTGAGAGCATGAGCAGGATTGTACCTTCTTCATTATCCAGAGCTTCCAGCTGGCAGCCTTGGGCTGAATGCTGGCATCAGCCTAAGTGCCATGGCTGGCTCCTCTAATCATCTCCACCCAGCTCCTTATCTGAAATCCATGAGCAGGTGAGAGCTAGAGCAGGGCCATTAAGTAACGGTGTTGATGAATTTTATCAACTGACTTCTCTCCAGAGCCGTTCTCCTTCAACCGTAAAGTATAAGGGGGAATCCAAAATTACACCAATCAGCTGGTCTGAAATCTCTTTATTTTTTAAAATCTTCCTCCTCTTAGTACTGCAGAACTGACTGGAAGGGACCCTCTGGGTCATCTAGTCCGGCCCCTGTCAAGGAAGGCCCAGTGGGGGAATACGAACTCCCAACCTTGGGCTTGGCAGCCAGCGACCTCAAACGCTGAGCTCTCTAGCAGTCCCTATTTTCTTTATTTTGGGGATTCGAAATGTGCCCTTCAGCAGAATCCCAGGGTGATTCATGTTTTCCCATTCAAAACATAATCCAGGAATGTTTGTGGCCACCGATGTTTGTTTTTCTGAAACACCACTCTTTGCGGTATGTCTGCTAAGAGTTATTATTGTTATCGCTGTTACATGCCATCAAATCCAAAACCATTTTATAGCAACCTTAACAGGGCTTTCAAGGTAAGTGAGATATTTAAGGAGTGGTTCTACCCGTTCCACGCCTCCAGTGAGTTTCCGTGGCTGAGATTCGAACCCTGTTCTCCAGAGTCCTACTCCATCACTCTACCCACTACACCACACATCCTGCTTTTTTTTTTTGTTTCCGTGGCTGAGATTCGAACCCTGTTCTCCAGAGTCCTACTCCATCACTCTACCCACTACACCACACATCCTGCTGAGTGCACATGTGCCCTAAGAAGCACATCTTAAAGAAGTTAGTTTTTCAAACCACAATCCCCAGTATGGCCACCATCTAAGCGAGATACCATCCCAGCTTTGGGATCATGATCAAGAATGAAATGGTCGCTCCAGGGCCCATTAATGTGTGCCAATGTTTAACTAATGGGGGGAGGCAGAGTGTACAGGCCAGCTGCCTGTCCCCAGCGATCCGAGGACGATGTCCCATGCTGAAGGCAGGCCTCAGAGGCAGCCTGGCCGCTGACAATTCTGCACACTTTCCTCACCGAAAACAGGAGGCTGAAATCCCTCTCCCTGCAAGGGATCACAGGGAAACCCTGCGTTGCTCTGCCGTCGGCTGGACGTTTATTAGGCTTCTTCACCACACGGGTGCAGATCAACAACAATACAACTGAGGCAAGTCAAGAGCTCTCTGATAGGCCTCCTTCTTAGGAAATTACTGCATGCAAGATTGAAAGAAAGGGCCACACAAAAAGAGGAGCATGCAGGAAAATCCATATTTTCATGGACCCTACCTCAGCCATTCAAGAGTCTGAGCAGATTAGGTAGCTCCTCACCCTGCATCTCACTTGCACTCCTATTGCTTACGGGAATGACCTTCATAATGAAAAGCAGGGATGTGCACTAGCTCCAAAATTCAGATTCGGAATTCAGATTTGGAATTACAGCCCTTCGGATTTGGAATTTTTGAAAATTCGCAGTTTCCAGATACCCTGAATCCCGTTATAGTGAATATGAAGTCTATCGTCCTTATTTTCTCCTTTCAAAAAAGTAACACAAAAAGGCAAGACGTTTTAAAGGATTTCCCCGTGCCCTCTGACACCTTCTCAGCGATTGTGCCAAATGAAAAGAGTGCACACCAATGCCTGGGTTCTAGAAAATTACTGTCATGGGCATCCTGTTTGGAGAACATTACAAACCAGGTATTGAATCTGGAGACTGCCAAAAAATAGTGCTTGAGGTTTGATGCTTCTTGAGATGGAATCAGGATGCTGGGTTAAACCCCCAGTCCCTCCACCCTGAGGTCATCAGCAGAAAATTAAGGGAGGAAACTGAGCGTAGGCCCTTAGTGGAAGCATCCTTAGGGCAAAGAAAGCCACCTCCAGCTCCTTCTCGATGCGTGGGATGCAAGGAGGTGACGCGGCCTTACCTGGAGCCCTGGTGTGGCAAGACTAAGGGCAAAAGGCTTGGCAGGGACCTGAAGCCCAGCTTCACAGCATGTCTAAGGCTCTCCTTGTCGTTCTGCTAAAGGCCAGGGAGACCGAGACCAGAGTCATAGCCCTATAGAAGAGGGGACATAAAGAGAAGTTACATGGCGAAAACGGAACTTCAGACTTCTGCAAGGCTTTCTTGGGAAGCCGGAAGAAGACTCTAAAAAAAAGAAAGTGTCCCCTAAGTTTTCTTTCAGGTGATACCAAGGATGCAGAACAGTAAAATCACTCCATTTATTCATGGCATTTGTAAGCCCAATTTTTATTCAAAGAACTCAAGGCAGCTGACACGATTCTTCCTCTGCCCTCCAGAACTTGAAAAGGTTACTTCTTAAGATCACAACTCCCAGGATCTCCCAGCCGGCATGGCCGGTGGAAAGGCTGGTGATCAACCCACCAACACACCCATGTGGATCTTGAAGTGAGCAGAGAACAAAGTAAGGGTGGGATCACACAGGCGTAGAGCTTGCATGCTGGACCATTTGTGGCGCAGTCCAGTCTGAGCTATTTCCTGGTGATCGCATGACCGTAGAGATGGGCACGAACCTCGGTTCGGAGGTTCGTGCTGGTTCACATGCATGGCACCACAGATGCACACCTTCCTCGCCATCCGATTGCACCCTAATCGTGAATGGGAACTCTATGACTCTTCATGTTGAAGGCCATCTATTCTGAAAGCATTCGATGCAGCCTCCAGAATGGAGCTTAGCATCTACCCCAGTTCTTTCCCTCTAGAGCAGCCTACGGCCCTTCCTCTCCCCCCCCCCACACACCTTGGCACGACTAACAGTGTCGCTGTTGACAGAGTCAAAGAAACCTTTTACCTCTCATCGGAGAGCAGCAATTACAGCCAAGCACTTCCCAGCCATATCCCCTACTGCGTTCATAGGTTATATCCACAGCAAGAGGCCTATGTTTATGGGCATAATTTGGTTTCCATCATTTTCCTTTCCTCCAACTCCTGGAGCGGTTCAGGATGAAGGGGAAAGGAAGATCGTGAAAACCAAGCGAGGGTCAGACAGATAACGGACGTCGGAGCCGGTCTGCGCCTTTAATTCAGGCATCCTGGCGGGTGAGACAGCCAAGACAAACCCTGTCCTGTAAACGCAGACAGGATGACGTACGGCCCCTTCCTCACGATTAGAATCAGTCCAAAGGACCACTTCAGGCTGAGGTGTTTCGCTCGTTTGCATTTCAAATATAAGTCCGAGGGTTAGATCTCTCTACGTGCTGTAGTTCGTTTCATGCAGCCTTGAGTGACTTCATCGGGAGTGACATGATCTCAGCCTCTCCTGCTTGCGCTTCCGAGGGATCCCCGAGAGGGGCTTTGAAGGACTCCGGCTGTTTTTCTCCAGCCACCAGCCTGGCCAATTTGGGGTGGGGTGGGGACCTTCCATTCACTTCAACTCTTG